TATGTTTTAGCTTTTTCCAGGACAGAAAATAAGATATTTAGAGGATATAGTTTGTGAGAAATCAATAAGAACTTGAAGAATTTGTCTGGATCTTACACTCACTAAGCACCCCTGACACACGTATACCATCCAATGTTAATGATGATTTCATTTTCTGGCCTTGATTCTCAAAATCACTTCTTGGAAATTACATGTCTACCCTATGCAACTGATTACTGCCATAATGTATGGAAAGCAGACAGCTAGGAATCAATGAACAAAGCTGGATGTGTAATATACAGATAAATGTTTGTACATCTACTTCCATTATGGAAAGCGAACACCCAAAACACATTGCACAGCCGTGTCATGTATTTTACCCACCAATGCACAGAGACACTTCTGAAACCCAGCCCACCAAAGGTGGGTACTAAATCCTATTTTTTAGATCAGTTCCCATTTACACTCAGAACCTGCAGAGAGGGGAAGAGAGAGAGAAATAGAGAGAGAGACAGAGGGACTCAGCAGGTTTCCTGTAAATGCTATCAAAGAATAAAAAACAGGAAGAAGAGTGGAAATACAGAAAAGGAAAAATGCATTAGGAAAATTAGAAAAAGAACAGCCTTCCTAAGAACTCCTGGGAGAAGAGGAGAATTTACCAAACTTTCCTGTAGGCAGCAAATGGCATTGACTCCAAACTGAAATGCTTACAACTACCATTCACTTCAGATTTGCTTTCATTTTGCTGCCAGATGGTAAGAGCAGCACTTAAACGCATAAGCTTCAACAACAGTTGCTCTCTTTTCTACAAGAGTTTAAATAGGAGACTAACTTCTCTGCATCCAGCTGGAAAATTCTCTCTCATTTCCTCTGAAATGTCTCTTTTCTAACAGAAGTAACTGGGTGAAAGTAGTATCGAGTCTTTTAGACCTTAAAAAATACATTCTGTGGAGCAGAGAGTCATTTAGTCTTTAGAGGATAAGATGTTTGACTAGGTACAGAAAAAAAAAAAAAGAAATTTATGTACAAAAAGAATTAGAACCACTTCTGCTTTCTTAAAAAGAAAAATCAAACTATATAAAATTGATTCAAATTCCCATATCCAGGTTTTTTTGAAACCTTGCTCAGGCACAGTCCCAGGGAAGTCAATCCAAAGTAATTGTATAGAAAGATGCAAGGCACTGCATACTGGCAAATCTATTGAATCAGCCACTTCCACTGAATCTGAAAACACAGAAAGCTTTTCATACTTTCCAAAAGCAGAAGGGCTAAGCAGCCTTTTTCTTCTCATGTCAACCCACTCAATGGTTCAGTTTTCTGGAACACAATAAAATAAAAAGTTATATGTGCTCATAAGCTTCAGTTTTTGCTTTAACATCTGAGGGCCAAATGCCAGAAATACCATAGAAAATCTAGATCCTGCAAAAGGTGCTGAGAAGAGGCTTGTGTTTTGTGAAGACTTCTCACTGCAGTGAAGAAACTGAGGACTGTACAGGCCAAATTCCAGAAAATGCAACACAACAGATTTGAGAGGTCTGACATTACAGCGAATGAGGGCATGCATGATTTCCATCACAGTAAGCAAGTGCTGCTTTGTAAGTATCTTCCTGCAAAAGTTATGAGGTAAAACAGATATATGAAGTTTGTGTTTCACAGACAGCCTTCTGTGTCTGCTTGGCATCAGTTGGGGGATAGTAGAGCGATGAGTTAATATTCTGAGTTTAGGTGGAACACATTCAGGGCTCATTAAGTTTCCAGCCATTCCTAAACAGCAACAGGTGCTTGAGAAACGTTTCTCCAGTATGTCACAGACAGCCTCTACACTGTCTTGGAAATAACTGACTGCACTTGTGTTTCCTCCATGGCACCAACTAACAAAGGAGAAGAGAACGAAAAGGAACAGGAAGAACTCCCAAAACATCTGCACGTGCCTGGTGAATGGGTCTAGAAAAGTAAGTAATGAAAGACCTTCCTGTACAGCCTGAATTCAGACGTGATACTTGCATGTCTGTCCAATGTTGCCACTCATTCAGACTGCAGTATCACATTCAGCCAAGTCCTAACAGGTTCCCAGAAATCTTGATTAATTAATTGAAATGGCATTATAAGAAGCTGAAAGTTTCTCACTGATTAGTGCTCATTAATCCTTTATGTATGTTGAAGCACAGAGACTGAATGTCTTGGGAAGCTTGTTCAACCATGGGAAGAAAGATGAGTTGTAGCTGGAGAGCCTGCCTGGCACAGCATTTGTGTTAGCACAGGTTGATTTAGCTTTTGTGAAGAGTGCTGTGCATGTGCAATTACCTAAAACATTTCATAATACAGCCTGCCACTGTAGAGAAACATGCACAAGGAAGCAATTTTAAGTTCAACTAACAGATTTAAGGAAAACAGGACTTAATATTTAACATTTAAGAACTACATCCAGGAGTTTTCAGTGTGTAGAATAAATCTGTATCTTGATCTTTTCCTTCCCTCTCACAAAGTCTGGAAAAAGCCTGAAAACTCTCTGCCAACAACTACTGGGCTGGCACAAAAATGCATGAGAAAGGTATAATCTGTTAGGAAAAATTATCCTTATGGAAACTTAAATTTTGTAACAAGTTCTTAGATGTTGCAATGACATTGTGAGAGGTTTCTGCTAGGTCTTTGATGTTGTACTACTACTGCATATCATCATTAAAATAGAGTAGCAAAGACATATCTTGGAGAGTTTTATAAAGTCCACATGGGAACAGAACCCAAAATCCCAGAAAAATATTGTAATAAACAACAAGAATCACTCTGGATGGAAGGAAAAAAAAAAAAAAAAAAGAAAAAAGAAGTCACTGCTGCAAGTTAGACTCCTCTTGGTTTTGTACAAGATGACAGCACCAACTGAGTCCAAGTCCAGACAATTGAGTTTCCTCCACGATCAAGTTTCTCATCCTGTCACTGCTATTTCAAAGTAGCTTTTGATCAACACCAGACCACTGGAAATTTGTTTCTCCATGAGATAACAATGATGTTGCTTTTGGAAATCGATGTAATGATCTTACCATGGTGGAACATAAATCTTTGCTAAAAAGGAGGCTGAGAGAAGGGGGGAAACTCCTACTTCACCTTTGCTGATTAGTGCCCATATTACTAACTCCAGCCACTCTCTGGTTTCTGCTACCACTTCTCATGCCACAGACACAGTCTCAGTGACTCAGAAGAATCTAGAGTTTTGTACTACAGACTACTTAATAAAACAGAGCTTACAAATAGCTTGAAATGAACAGCAACCATCCTGCAAGTCTGATGTGACAAGATATGTTTTGCTCTGTCCTGCGCACATTCTGCTTCCTCATCACCATCCAGGTGGCAGGACAATGCAGAATTATACTAAATGAAATTTCTTCACTGAAACACCACTAGTCTCCCTCTGGACTGGATTTTAAACAGGAGAAATTATTTTCCTAAATGATTAATATTTGACAAAATTATTCCATTTTGTTCTGCACGCAACTGCACTGTTTTTCCACTGTATCCACTGAATTTGGAAACAAATTTTCACTGGGCAAAACTCCCACACTCATTTGTTTTTCAGTTCATATTTTATCTTTCAGGTGATTCTGGAAGCTGCACTTCTGAGCCATTCTTACTGCCAACAAATAATTTTCCCAGAGCAGGCACTCAGATGTAGACTTTTTTATTTACTGGTTATATGCATGGACATGTGGTCTGCATGAACATGGGAACCCCAAAGACCAGCCACAGCTCCAGTTGCTTTTGGCAGGTGTCCCTGGGATGAGTGCCTCAGGCAAGTGCCCCACTGACCTCCATGTGAGCTACCTCTCTGCTCACTGTTAAAGTAAACAGAATAGGGATTGCTGCCAAAGGCCCTAATAAAAACAGTTTAATCACACAAGACTTCTCCTCCATGATCTTCACTACTCAGTACAGAGTTTATTCTTGCAGAAAATGAACGACCTCCACAGGAACTATATTTTAAGCTGTTACAACACACAAAATTTAATACGCACATTCAATTTTCCCCCACAATTCACTAGTAACACAGAAGGGACATTATGTTTCAATACTGTGGCAATTCACAGGTCCCTTGAGAAAGTCACTGCAAATGTTAAATTCCATGAGATAAATCCTGAATCCTACCACAATGGACAAGAGTTTGGTCTCTGACTTATCCTCCTCGTTATGGGGGAAATCCTATAAACTTTCTCCTTGAGACATACACAGGCCCATGCTTGAATGCAAAGAAAAAGTTTCCAAGAGATTTTGTTTTCTCAAAGGACAATCTTTGACACAAAGGAGAAGTGGCCATTCTGACCTGCACTGACTCAGGATACGTGAATCTGCTCACTCTGTGCAGAATTACACAGTTACAGCTCAAACTGTGCAAGTGTCTGCAGATCCTAATGCAACCACTTATGCTAGAACTAAACCAAGTATGTGTCCTTTGTATCAACTTACCTACAGATTCCAGACAAACTGGAAGCCAGGGACTAAACCAGGTATTGTGTCAGGGACTGTAGCTAATACTAAACAGAATATTATTGAAACATTTTGACTTGTCAGTGGAAATCACTGCTGTTTAATGGGGCACAGAGTACTTTTGTCAACAGAGCCATGTCTGCACTGCCTGTGTATAATTAATGCAGCTCTCGGGCTGCAGGATTGGTTAATTCAGTAGAATATTGCTACTGGAAAGCACACACAGAAGTGGAAACCAAGTAAAACTTTGATGACAAGACCTATCCATTAAAGAACAAAAATAAAAAACCTCTACTATTTTTGTTTTTTAAAAGAAATAACTAGAATGTTCTGCCTCACATTTTAATGTAAGATATACTGTTTGCCTACTCATAGACACTTAACCAATTTTCCACATAAGAACTTGCTGTAAAAAACCCCAGTTTAATACCAGAGACACAGAAAATGACATAACACAATACAGTAAGTCCATTTGTGCCACATTCTTGCGTTTCCCCCCTCTTTGTGGTATTCCCCCCCAGTACAACAGGTACTGCAGTATTTACCTTTATTCCAGGGAGTCCAGGAAGCCCAGGAAGGCCTGGTTCACCCTACATGGGAAAATTACATAACATTACAGACATTATCCAGTTAGGGTCACTATCCATTGAACAGCCCTGTAAATTCTGCAGGAAGATAAAAGAGCATGAATGATTGCTAGTCAGCTCCAGCAAGATTGGTTTTTTTCAAAATGAGTGACTTAAATGTACAATTAGTAAGAGTCATGTTAAGAACTTAGATATCTTCTGGGAACCTTCAATGTGAAGATGACACACAGGGCTGAAAATCCATGTCAGGAAAGCCAAATATGAATTCATATTAGACTTCAGCAAAAGAGAAGAAAACAAGTAGCACTGGTTCATTTTACTGCAACTGAAGTTCCATACTTATGACAGATGTTTAATTCTGTTCCATTTTCAACTCTGAGCTAGATACAATGCTGTGTGACTCTGATTTAGCTACAGAACAATTCAGAAGAGCTTGGTTTAAATTACACAATTCGAGCAGGACTGCCTAATTATAACTGTGCCATCAGTTTTATAGTGCTATCCACAGCTTCATTTCAGAGCTTGTTCTTTATCTGTGAACATACACAGTGTCATGAAGGATAGTGGGAATGTAACCTTTTACTGCTCTACCCAGAAAAACCTTGCTTATTTAAAATTGCAATGGAAAGACCTATAGAACTCTATTTGCAAGGTAATTTTGTAACAAGCATTGAAAACTGAATGCATTAATTTTGGAAATAGTCTAAGACAAGAATGACAACATTGTCACAAATGGTCATTTTGAGATATCAGCTAAATGGAAGGACGTTGTCTAGGGAAATAAAGATGATGAACAGAAAAAAAAAACCCAATAACATGTGAATAAAACATTATTTTATAGGCTGGGGATTTTATTTTAACACAGAGATGGAAACATAAAGATGATGAACATCTGAATACCAGCACCTTGGATCTGAATATTCCCTGAACTTTCTGGAAGCTCAGGTTTGAACTCTGAAGCCAACTTTTACCTTTATAATAAACTGAACTATATTCCAGATTTTTTTACACTCATGAGCTTTCCAGAAATCCAGACTTCAACTCTGTGGTTTGGGCCAATACCTACAGGTTGTGCTATTAAAATATTTTATGTGCCTGTGTACACACACGCTTACACACATCCATACACCCACGTATATTCATGTATACACACACAAACATGAACACACCTACACATAACACAGGTGTACATCAAACTGCATGCCCAGAGACACTTCTTTGAGGCAGAGATATTACACAGACTTGAAACACTCATAACAAAATTACATTCTGCCACAAAATGAACAATAGAGGGGCTGCAAAGCAAGTCACTTCACCAAATGGAATGATTTTTAAGTGGTATAGAAGGATCTGATAAAAGCTTCTTCATCTGTTTTAGTTTCTCCAAAGTTCTAACTGTTCAAATTGCCTAAAAGCACAGGAAAGATTCCAGTCTCCAAATATTAACTATAAAATCAGATGAAAGAATAGATTTTTCAATAGACACTTTTTGGTATGTTGGCTACCACTTTCTAAAGCAGAAAATGGCTTACTACTCTTGCAAAAGAACAATGCTCCACTGCACTAACTCCCTACCTTTTGCCTGAGCAGCCATACATACAGCACCATCAACTTTACCCACCTAATTGTGGAAGCACTAAATTTCACCTGCAAGCACAGAACTGGAACATTTATAATTGATATTATATTAGTGTTGCTGCAGTAGGTTACTCTTTAGACTTGGGACAGAGCTAACCCCCATACATTCACACATAATAAACAGAAAAGATCCACCAATGCCAGTTCAGAGTCACAGTAATCTAAAACAATTAAAATGCCCCTAAAAGATACACCAATATGAAACACAATGAAATCAATCATTATTTCTTAATTACAGCTAGCATTATAGATGAATGCGGAGTATTTACTTTTTTGGACCTTTCCTAATATAAAAGTTCTGAGTACGATTTATGAGAAGAATGACTTTTAAAGAAACCAAGGCTGTATACTAACTCTATTACATAATGGAGGAGCAGGTCATTCTGTCAGCTCAGCACACAATGTGGCCCACAACAGCCTTGTCAGACTGCTGAAATATTGTCACGTTTCATGTCATGCAAATAGTGTTTGGGTGGGCAGCTCAACACATATTTGTCCTTAAAAGATGGATAAGGGACAACTAGAAGATAAAGGGGAAATACAAGAAAGAAAAGAAGACACAGGAAGGAAATATGAATGTAACACAGATAGGGAGAAAAGCATTGAGACGATGAAGATGGCAGAGACGTGCCTCCAACTGGAAAAAGAGCAACACTGGTGGTGTGAAAAAGTCCCTGCTGAGCAGGGGTGCAGGGCAGCAGACATGGGACACCCAGCTGGAAGAGGCACACTGACTGGGCATGTCATGGGAGCTGATGGCTGGGGCTGGGACAGGAGTTGTGACACACTAGGAAATCATGAGGTCGGTGGAAGGAAGACACTAAGCCCCTCTCTGGTGTCAGAAAGAAAGTGAGAATATAGAAATTTGAACTGCATACCTCTCACACATCCATGTTGCTTGAATTAGATCAAATCTGAGTGCCTGAGACTGAGAACCACGAGCTTGCTGATAAATCACTGCTAGTTTTGCCTCCATGGCAGCCACTTAATGAGAGTCTGAATCTCCACAGGCGCTTAAGTGCATTTTCTAGTTTATTAGCCAAGCAAAGCATACACTGCAGAATGCACACACTGAATGATTCTGTGGATTAGATAGCTTTAACTACTTTGATTACCTTTCCTAATTAAAACTGCACTTTACTAAGGAAACTGCATTTGCCACCATTTAGTCTCTGATGAGAGTTATAATTTCTTAAATAAAAATACTTAATGTCTTATTTATTTCTTATTTATATGTGGTTTGGGGTTTTACTTAGTCACCAAAGTATCATGAGTATTAGAAAACGGTTGTCCTGCCATACACTATATAGAATTTTAGCTCTTGACTGTCTGTCTGGAATATCTAAACTGGCAGAAGGACTCTGTTCAACTCTGGCAGCAGTGTGCAGTGGAAAATTTTCTATGTTATAAGAGGGAAGAACAGTGCCAATGACTCCTGAGGGAAAACAAATATTGCAATGCACAAATCCAGTTCTCTCACTGTCTCTTTGCTCTCCCTGCAGGACCTGCCCCCTACTCTCAGGAAAGGCAGCTGAAGGCACAGCATTTGCTGTGCTGATGTACTGTGCATTCAAAGAGCACATTCCCCAGCCTCACAGGGCCTCGTGCAGTACAGTCATCGTAACTCCTGCAGGAACTTTCCTTGCAGAAGCAGCCTCAGCCACACAGCACCAGGGAGCATTTCTTTCACTGGAAGGAAGAACACAGCAGCATTACCTGGTCTGTGTCCTTCCAAATACACTGTGTGCCACTGAGGGTTTGATTCCCCTCACAGGTGTATGTGAAACCTATATTTATATTCTTCCTAATGAGATCTAACGGTGTACCACAGTTTGAAGATTAATAGTCAAACATGCAGGGTTAGCTTGTGATGACCCAAGGAGCAGAGCCATTCTTTGTTAGTCTTACCAGCTGCAACAGGGTAAGCTTTCAATGCAAGAGGTATGCTGGGGCTAGAAGGGAAGGTGGGTTAGTCAAAATTGCTCTTCATGTTTATTAGTATCGTTATTCCTGTGCCTTTCTAAAATACAAAATAAACACAGATCAAATGTGCACAGCCTTGGGCTGCTGAATTGTACTGCCTCGGACTCATCCCAGTGCAGGAAAGTGCCACTGGTAACACAGATGTGACATCATTTATCACAAATCCAGCAGAGAAGGAAAACTGAACATTTCCAAGCAGTACCTTTTGTCCAGGCCGCCCAGATTCACCGGGTTCACCCTAAAAGAAAACAGATTAAAGACGTGAGATCTGAGAAAATGAATTAAAGATGGAGTTGTGGAAAACCGTAACATTAATGATACCCAAAATGCCTGTGACACTCTGAAGTAACACAGTAAATGGACCAACCACCCCTCTTCTCCCTGCACAACTTCTTCAGAACTCCATTACCTTAATTCCAGCCGCAGAAGAGCCAGGGTCACCCTGAAACAAAATCCACAAGAAATAATCACTCTTACTACATAAACAATTTTCCAGGAAACACATAAATCATGTAAGAGTATAGCAACATTATACAGCAAAATAACTGCATAGCAAGACTGCCTGTTTTCTGTGCTACTACATAGGCATTTAACTAATTAATTATAACAGTGTGATTCAGAAAAGGAGCAGTGCTGTTTTCAAGACCATGCAGAGAGAGATTTAGCTTCACTCACCCAAATACCTGTAATAGTTAACTTCAAATTTCACAACTAATAATGTAGATCTAATAATTGCAGTTGTTGTATAAATGTACTTCACACTGCCAGAATATGGGACATACTTTGACATCTCTAAATTGTTGATCTACATTAAAAATAATTCACTGTTATTTACAAAGAATATGAGTGACCATTTGACCTAATTTTATAGATGGCAAGTGTCAGGACTCAACTGACAACATTTTTTGTACTAATGAAGATTCACATTGAAAAAAAAAACCAAAAAACAGTGACCTGTGAGTTTATCCCCAACAGGACAGGTCATGGTTTTATTTCCTCAACACTCCAGGGCATTTAAATAGATAGATTAATGCATGAAGGGCTATACTTTACATGATGAGACAGCTATGGTAATTTACATATTCAGGAAAGGTCTCTGTTCTGAGAGGACATGTAGCACTCAAAAAGATTTGCCTACATTTTGCTGGGTTGACTGGATTTCATAGGCACTGATATGCACAGGACAGAGGATCAGTTTTTTGTTTTTTTTTTTCTTGAACAATATTCCAAAGAAAAAAGAAAATAAAACTACTGAAAAGTTTGCTAGTTAGGCTATATACTACTGAAGATGACTAGTGTGCTTCTATTTGAAAAATTGTTTAATTATTCATTATGCAGAATAAATATACATTGTTCATACAAAGCAGCAAGTTTTATATAGCAGCAACTTCAAGTTCTGAGCAGCTTGCCAGTGATTTACATAGGTAGGATAGAAGCCAGTACTGTAATACACTGCAGAGATGTATAAGCAGAGTATAAATGTTTAATATTCTTTGTATAAAACACAAACAGGGGACACCCATTCCTGATGTTTCTGTCAATGCCATAGCTTTGCAGCTGGTTTGGGCATGGCATCTTTCTGGCATGGTCTTATAAAATTAAATTGTACTGGTTAACATGCTCACTGGCCTCTGAAGAGTAGGAATACACAGTTACTGCAGCTTGCAGTGAGAAAGAAAACACAAAAATCAGTATTATGAGATTGATACATGCAAGGAAACCTGACCTGCCTCCTTTTAATAGACATGCATGAGTGACACTGCTGATATCCCTTACAAGCATGTACAACTGAAAGCCTCAAGAAACTTTTATAGCTATAAAGGGCCAAAGCAACTAGTAAGACACATTAAATCGTTAAGTATTTCAAAGGGCAATGATGGATATGGGGAAGATAAGACACAAAATATTTATAATCCACCTTCATGCAAGAATAAAGACTAGATCAAAGAAAAAATTACAGTATAGTATGTTCAGAATTCACTGCTGAGTCAAGACAGTTTGCAAATGAAGAAACTTTAGCAGGGGAACACGTACAAAGAAGGAAGATCCTTGGTAGTTTCTAGGAACCAAGGCTACAGTGGAAGAACAGAAGCAAGAATTCAAGCTTGGTATTGACACTGTCTTCAACAATTCAGCAAAGACATTTTAATTCTAAAGTCTCAGGTCAAAAATTAAGGACCCAATTTTTGAGTCTCACTAGGTACAGCAGTTCAGTAAACAAAGCTACATTTTTTTTTGCACAAACAGGAACCTGCTCCTAAACCAAGTCTGGATCTGTTGTCATGTGGTATCTCACTCTCCCACCACATGAATAAAAATTTATTTATCTCACAGAAACTCTACTGAAGCTTTCAAAGAAACGTTTTTAAGTTTTATGGACTATGGATTAAATCTCCTAAGCAAAAACTTCCCCCTATGCTGAAGACCAGGAAAGAATACAAACCCTACTAAGCAGCTCAAGTGTAAAGTAATGACACCAAGTTTAATGCTTACTCCTAAATTATCTGTCAAAAACCACCCTCGCAAGCTCTCTAGAAAGTGCTGTTTGCAAAGCTACCTATCAGAAACTTTAAGCTGCAGCTCTCCTCTAAGAACTGTATCTTTTTTTTCTGGGTGGCAGATTGTCTTGTAGGCAGGGAAAAAGAAGAAAAATATTGAAAGTCAGCGAAGTCAGCTCTGGAAAGTCTGGCAAAAATGATTGCAGAGTACTCTAACCCATTATGGCTAAAGCAGAGCACTCCAAATGAACAGAATATATTCTCATGTCACCACCCTACCTCTGAAAATAATACAAAACTTAGAAGAGATGGAAGACTTCTGCATTATGAAGTTCAGGAGGTGTCCTGAAACTTCTTCAGATACAGCAATATAAGAAGTCTCCTGAGAACCTCTGCCTTCCACAAGTTGATCCCAACTCGACTGCCTAACTGCTGGAAGTTCACACAGCAGTATTTAAAACTTTATACTTGAGCAGAAAGAATCTCCCACTGAAAGAAGGAGAGAACTTTTTTCTTTCCTCAGAGAAGATCCCAAACAGTGGGATGTGCACACTGCTGATCACAGGGCAATATGGGCATCCTTGTGGATGCAAACTCACCCTCAAGGCTAATGAAGCAGAAAAGCAACAGGTGAAGCTGCACTAGGCTTCCCAGAGAGATTATAACCTTACCATCTACTTGTTGTAGAACTATCTGATTAACAATCTCAATTCATACTTGTAGCCAATTATATTCTTAAATCATGTAAGAGTGGATCAAGATTATGTTACCAGCATACATCATTTAAGTAAGTAAATAAGGTTGTTATTAATAATCATGACTGCAAATAAAGTATTATTTAAATTAACTCCAAAAATCAAGTAACTTGACTGTTCTTAAATCTAATGTCTATTTTTAATTGCTGATTTTAGAATATGCCTTAAAATCCTTGTGCTCTTCAAAGGACAGATTACTGTACCCAAATGATAGCTCCTGAGGGATTTGCATGCATTCCTTACCAGCTTGATAAATCCATCATAAATTTCTCCTTGAACTGAAATGCTGTAAGTTGGTTAAGCATTACACATGCAGGGGTACAAGAAGAAGTGCTTATGTTTCTGCCCAAGCGTAGTCATTAAAATAAATGTTTTTTAGAAGTGCATCAGTTCAAAAATGATGGCCAGAAGAGATCAATATGCCTGACCCTTTCTCATGTGCAACAAAGCCTTTACCCTGACTCCTAAAGACTGGCTTCTGTAAGGAAACCACACTGAAAATTCCAGTTCGATTTTCTGAGTGTGAGCCTCACATAAAAGAAGACTCAGGAACATAAAAATTTTGACAAAAATCTATTTTTTGGTGATTTCTACAACATCTTTGTAATCTGCAACAATGAACTAAGAAGGTATAAAGGCAGGTTATTGTTGATGTCACTTGGAATAAAGATTTGAAATCTGTTTATCGTCAGCTCTTGATTTCCCAGCTGCCAGTTTGGGAGGAAAGTTGCCTATCACGATACCATAATTTTGTCCCATATTAGTTTGGCCCCAGTCTTTGATGGAAACACAGAAGGGGAAAAGATAAAGGGTATACCAGAAAATATGGCTGCAATTCAAAGGGGCAGTTCCAACTGGCAGGTTGTGACCAAAGCTTCTGTATGATGCAAATTTCAACAGAGGAGTGCTAGTTAGAACCATGCTGATATATTATATACTAGGGCTACCACTGTATAAAGTAAGAAATCTTATGCTTAGTTGGACAGAAGAGTGAAAATTTTTCTGCTGTTCATAAAAATGAACCAAATCGTTCACCTTAAAAAAAAAAACAATCTCAAAATGCATTTTTCTTTTGAAAAAATTACTATTTTCATTATTTTGTCATAGTATAAGCATGCCTAAGGCACACAATTTCTTCTCTGCTAAAAAGTGTTGTTACCTTTTCTCCTGTGTCACCCTTCAGTCCATTCTCACCAGCATCCCCCTATAATTGAAACACACATATTTTAATGATTTTCTGTAAGCACACAGTATGCAGAGAAGAGTCAGATTTCCAACATGATTAACAATGCAAGCTGATGTTGTTCATCAGATAGTCAATCTCTGTGGCATGGTCAGGAAGTGGCTATGTCTTACACAGACTTCACTATAACTGCAATCCTTTTCACAGATCTGTAAAAAACTCCACCACAAAGCATCAAAATACCTGCTGGCATAATCTACCATCTTTCTCAGTTCACTGCAGCTTAGCAAGGAAGCAATGATTTAATGATTTTATGATGATTCAGCACTCTAAATTACAAATACATTTTTCTTCCTAACACATACACATTCACCCAGATGCATCTAAAAAAAATCAGATGACAGTTAGACAATCCCAATAGTTTTTATTGAGATTCTCAAGTAATTTATAGCACATACTCTCTGAGTCTGAAGTCCTTCATGAATGATTCACAAACTAAAAAAAAATTCACTAAATGTCACTCCTCCAAGGAGCAAACAAATGACTTTATCTCTACATAAATTCTATGCACTGTTTTTGTTAAAAAAAAGTGATATTCAGATAATACCTTTTCATGGCTGAGTAGATATTTTCTATTAAAAAAATGCCCAAAATTTTAAAATAAAAATTTCACAATATTTATCTATAAAAAAACCTATTTTCCACCTAGTCATGTAACCATATAAGAAGTCCAGACTATATCAAATACGTTATATGTTGTTTAAGGCTAACAATACAGGCTAAAAATTTCTGTGGGAGTTGAGGTTCATGTAAAGTGCAATAAGTATTTAAAATGCCAAAAATATAGATAAAACCAGAGCCTAAGTAGACTAAAACAGAGCCTAAGTAGACTACTGGCCTTGGTCTGATAACCAGTAGTATTGTTCAAATAACATTATTCAGTATCTGTCATATTGTTCTGAAAACCTTAATGTGAAATCCTTTTGGAGAGGACTTAGCAATTTATACATCACAGCCACTGATCCAATGGGAACCAGCTAACAACCTAGCAGCACTGTAATTAAGGAAACATACAAGAAATATGGAAGAATAACAGTGAGGAATGTTACTCAAGTTCAATTAACATGATAAACTTACTGGGGGGATCTGCAACCACACTTTTTAGAAAAAGACAAAAGATAATTATGGAAAAATAGAATGGTTTTAAGTGACAAAAATTCACTACATATTAGAATTCATTGTTATTCCTTTTATGTCTGAAAACAAACTAAGGATTACTGAAGTGCTTTAAAAATATCATTTTAACAGAATATATTTCATTATGCATATTTCATGATTACATAGTTCTGCATGTGGGGTACAAACTTTCAAAATTTCCCTATATTATTTTCATGGTGTACTTTTGAAAATGTGAAATTAATTGCCTTGGTAAAGTATGCTTCCAGCTGCTATTACACAGATTTATATGGAACTGGAAGTGAAATGCAGTTGTAGCTGCAAAGACACAGGTAAACTTTTCTCAACAGAAAACTGCACCTCAGTACAAACAAATTATTTTTTAAACATAAGCTCAGTATACTTGCAGAAGATGAGGCTGTGTATGGATTCCTACTCAAAATAAGGTTTATGCTATTTCTCAAGGTGAGGAAGCTCAGCTCTAATCTCACTGTGCTCCTACCAACCACCATGCCTGGAAGAGCAGAATTATACTCCCCTTCTGCAGCATGGAGTTTGTTCCACCCCCTTGTCTTGCCCTGGTAGGACTGGACATCAGAGAAGCAATTTCTTGCGAACTCACTGCAAGTAAGAGCCCCATCAGTGTGCCTCTCCAGGCAGCATCACTGGAGATCAGGGGGGGAGACTCCCTTGCTCCTACTTAAGCTAACCCAAACACAAATGGAGCATTCCACTTTTATTTTTTATTCAATTTTTATTTTTTATTCCATTTCCATTTTTATTTTTAGTACATGGAGAGCTTGTTATCACTTAGAATCTATGTAGTTTTACCATTCTGTTACCTAATTGTTTTATTCCACACAGGTGTCAGAACCTCAAAACCAAGGTATGAGAAATGTGAGGATCTCTAATTTATTCAGAGAGGCTCATCATTTTCTGAGGCTCACCACAGTTAGGATTAGTTGCCTGATTGCTCATCTGTGCAGCCTTTAACACAAAATCACTGCACCTGTGACTAATCCCACTGCAGTAATCACAGATCAATAACTTCCATTAGGAGGTATTATCTGACCCTTGGAAAGGCTGCACTGTGCCACTTAAGTTCTAGGTAGGAGCTGTGGTTTTTTATTTTTAAACTTGGGATGAGTTCACTCCAAGCAAGTTACCCAAAACAGAAACACAACAAAGGAAGTGAAACATCTCACCTTTTCTCCTCTTTCTCCAGGGTCACCCTAAGGAAAATAATTGGAGCAAAGAAGTGGTAAGTTATTAACTCAGGCAAAAACAAAAGTGTTAGCCTTTCTATCATTAGTTATTACTAATGTTAGTATTACTATCCTTACTAATAATTATGTCACTACTGATGACAACGTCTCAGATGACACAATACAACAAGAAAATCTCCAATGAACAATAAAATAAGTAAATTTAATAGATCTCAATAGACAATACAAGTTCAATATTTTTTTTTAAAAGCATCAATGGTTTGCATTGAAGACCTCTCTCTCTACTTTGTCCTAGATCCTGACAAACAGGCATATGTCTTTGAGAAGCAGTCTGCAGGGACCTAGGCGGCTCCTACATGTGGTTCTCCTTGTTTTGGGAACAAACAAAAGAAACAAAAAGTCTGGATGTCTTATGATTCTGTCAACGGTTCAGAAGGTTCCTCAAGAGAGAGAAAATGCCTTAAGTGTCTTGAACAAATTCATAACTGTTCCAGAGTAAAGAGCCTTCAGTGCTCTTTATGTTCTCTGTAACAATCTCTGTAACAAAAAGATGGCTTATAGCCATTATTTTTTTCAAAATTAAAACGTGCTTGAGAAACTGCAAAAGCACTTTTGCACACCAGCCTGACCCTGACAACTCATCTTCTCTGCATTTCTGGCTCAGAGCTGCACTCTGGCTCATATTTGTCCCTTTTGATGGCTGGCAGTCGCTAGGCAACTCGGGGACTACAGCTGTGAATACAAATTAAGCATCAACTGCCATAATTTGGCTTATTCTGTATACAAAGTAAGAAAAGGTCATGCTCCCAAATGGTTTGTTTTCATTCCTGATGGACAAGCAGTCAGTCAGTAAATGTAAAGAGGCTGCCTTGCATGTCTGTCAGCAGCAGCATGATGCACAGAATCAGCTGAGGAGCACATGTGCACCAGAGATCCCATCACTCACAGCTGATGGGATTAGAAATTAGCATTACCCCCTCCAAGAGGTCCACAGATCCCATCATCTTGGACATGTTGAGTTTTCTTTTAAATGAAGTTATCATCATAAGCTTTATGTTCTATTTCACTTGTTCAATATTAAAACAGCAGAACAAACTACAGAACAATAAAGTGCAAAGAGTCATTCTGATGTAACAAATAGAGGCTGAGACATGCTCCTAATGAGGCTTGTTGCTAACTTCCATAATAGCAGGATCAGCCCTCAAGACTTCACCCTGACATTTGTCAAAGAACTGACTGCAGCAGTTCTTGAAAAGAAGCCTGAAACACATTGTAAATGGCATAAACAAAGCCTTTCTGAAAAGGTCCCCAAATTCTCAAACACTTGCAGGCATATTGCATTCAGCTGGCAGTGGAGGCCTATGAATCAGTGCCACTGACTGGAATTATACATGCACAGCAGAAGAAAATGCTTCTTTATGGTGAGATGTGTAAAGCCTCTTACAGCACTGATCACTGGAGGGAGCAGATCATTAAAAGCCAGTCAGAATATGAACTACAAACCCAAACTGGAAAGCACAACTGTCATCTACACATGCACTCACATACTCTGTGCTTCTGTTTTTAATTCATTTTCAGTACTGACCTTAAGCCCTGCTTCTCCCTTCTCTCCTGCTATGCCAGGCAAACCAGGTTCACCCTAAAGGCAAAGAAAAAGAAAGATGAAGTTAAGAAAGACATGATGAAATATATGAACCTTCTCATAATGGGTCAGTAATGATAAACACAATTTTAAAAGACTCTGCAAAGATGTAGTCCACAGCTGGGCACTAAAATGACTTATTTTGTCAGTTAGGGTGGATTAACTCTAATCCATGCAAGGTAAGAAATTTTTCTTCTGAAACAGGTGGAAACACACAGATGTCACAATAAACAGAGAGGAGACCTATGACTCCTGATTCTTAAAATCTGTCCAATGAGCCTTAAAAGCACAGTCTTCCCAGCAAGACTGCCAATGCTTTCCTCTTCTCTACAACTTAGAAATGCTGCAAGAAAGGCTTGTCTTAATTTATTTTGACATTTGTGCTTCTGGTCTCAGACGGAAGACAGATAATGAGAAAAATGAGAAGGGCCTGTTTCAGAAATGGAAGAATTTGGAAAAAGAGAGAACTTTTCAATTTTTAAAATATACTTTGCTTATCCATTTTTTATACCAGTGGTTGAAAAGTGGTTTTAAAAGATTTAAAAACTGTCAGTATTACATCAATGCTCCAAATTTTGGGTACGCTCAGTGGGTAGTATATTACTCTTCTACAGTTTAAGGAGTCATAAATTATTTTCATGAGTCAATCAGCAAATAACACTTATTTTCAATCTTCTTCCCTATCTTCAGTTTTAAAAATAAAGAAGCAAACAAGAAAAAAAAACAAGTCAAACACAAACAAAACACTCTAAAAGATTATTTTTATTATCTAAAAGATATCCCACATTTATGGGAAAATGATAGATAATCATTTTAGATAAAATAATGTAATGGTTAGACTTTATTGTAAAACAACTAGAGCTTATGGCTTATTATTTAAAAGCTTCTGCAGATGTATATCTCAGTTTCACAAGAAATACCTTTGATAACCCTCACATACAGAACTGCATCACACTTCTGACATGGCAAAACACATTAAAATAACAGCCAAAGACAGATTTTAAAAAGTCTGCAGCTAGGTCCTTCTAAAAGCCTTTGCTATTTAAGTGTAGAAAAATGTGGAAAAGTTAAATCCAATAGCTAACATAGCAATCAAATTTGGAACAGTAGTTTGTATCAGAAACTCTGAACAATTTTCACACAGTGTTCAAATTTAGTACACATGATGAACCAATCCTCTACTCAGAAGTTACAGAGGCATTAAGATAAAGGCTCTTCCAAACACAAGACATATTTTCTAGTCCTCCATAAAAGTCTCCTATTAGGAACTTATCTCTTTCTTACTTCTGCAGGCAGATTTAATCATAGATGTATTAACTCTGATTATCCATGAAAGCAAGTTCCATTGTACTTCTAAATTAGGTAATGGAATCATTAATTACATTTCCATTTCCTCAAGAGTTTCAAAAAACAAACCAAAATCATCGAAGTTCTAGCAAAACTCTAAGTGAGGCATTTTCCAAGCCAGAGCAAAAAATGTTAGGTACCATTAAGCCCTCAGGGAATGAAACAGTCACTTGTGTCAGCCCCTTCTCAAGGCCCCTTTGTACTACAGTAGCTGTGAGGCTGATAAAGTGGCACAGGCATTTGATATATGAGTGCTCAGGATTTGAAGCTGTTGGAGATTAGGTGTGAGTGTCCTAAAGGATTGACCTAAAAGGCTCTTGAAGAAAATTGCCAGTTGACAAAACGAAGCAGAAGGGACCCATGAATATACACTTGTTTCTCCTCATCCCCACACCCCAAACACGCTTGCTTCTGTCCCCTTCATTTTCAAACAGCTGCTGTCAGCTGATGCTTTCAGGGGCTTAAATCTCTAATCAAAAGGTTGAAGTTCCAGGCTTGCACTTTCCTCCCAGGTTCACATATCAGTGCTATGGATGCAGAGGCTACTGCTGTGACAAAAAGGAGACCACAAAAATAGAACCAAAAAAAAATTTTTCTTTGGAAAAAAGTGAAAACCTCAGCCTGTCACCTAGCCATAGTAAATCCCCATTCATACCAACAATTGCATTTCTGACCTATATGCAACTTTGCTATGCTCAGCACTTCACTTACAGTACTGAAAGTACTAGGCAGAGATACTTGAAGCGCAGAAACTAGCTCTGGGAATAGGAAAGACTGAAGGCAAACCTAGAAGGAGAACACAGAAAAGACCTTGTGCCTTTATGTTTTTGTAGTGATTGTCTTCTGTTGCTAACGTTCAGAAGAACAGGGAAAATATTCCTTTCCCTATGTTAGACCTTTATTTTCTTGTCTATACAAAGAATCAGTGAAAAGAAGTGAAAATGTACAGCCCATAAGATGTTCTATGTCTTAGCCCTGATGAACATTCCCAGTGCACAGCTAAACAAGCTTTGTGCCAGGGAGCCTCCCTTTGTCACTCTGCATGTCTTGCAGGCATGGCAGCCTGGCTTTCTGTGCAGATATTTTTTACAATTCCAGTAAGCCTTAACATAAAGCCCCCAAAATAAACAAGAAAACCAAACGACAAAACAAAAATAAAAATGGTCCACTCAAAGTAGTCATGAAGCAAAGAGCTGATAACTTTTGAAGAAGATTAGATTGATAGCTCTTCCCTACTCAAACACTGTGTTATTTTAGCCATGTTGGTCCCAAAAAATGGTTTTGATTCTTGGCATGAAAATAATTTAAAATGTTTCTATTAGGAAGCATGTTAGGAAGTTTAGTTACTTTAATTAATTTATCTATTTATTGCTAAAAGCATGTATTAAAACCAGAGTACAAAATGCTGTAAGAGTAAAGCTGGAGTGTAAAATGCAGTGTAAGTACACTTCAGCCCCACAGGTTAGTTCTTTGGAGATGAATAAAAAGCACAGTTGACCTTTTAGAGGCTGAAGATGATGACCCTGCTATTCAAGGAGTGATGCATGCAAGGGAACACCAGATACTCAACAATGTCATTCAATGCAACAATTTAAATCACACTGCTTTTCAACCTGATAAAATGAAAGAAACTATAAAGCTAAATCCTCAATGTCACATGGTTTTTACATTCACCAGGCCATGGCTAATGTCATTCCTGACTGCTGTTGTAGTCTGTCTTTAATAGCATTGACAGCAAAGGTGCTAGGCTGCAGAAGCAATTGTCTCCTGCACATCAGCTAGCTTTCAAATCAAGGCAGCAGATTTTTATTTATTTTTTCTTTCATAGAATCACAGAATGCCTGAACTTTGAAGGAGATCACCTTTGAGGCCCTTACTTGGATTCTACCCAGTATGTCCATATCTTTCTTGTAGTGAGGAACCCACAGCTGGACACAGTACTCCAGGAGTGGCCTCGACAGTGTTTTTTCCCCCATTTAAAGAGTAATTTTTTCAATAGTACATCTAACTTTAGCTCACAACTCACCTTTCTCCAGTCATTTCTCCCCTGAGAAATTATTGCTCAGTAACAGAGTGATGGCAATCATTCTAAAACTTTCTAGTGTCTATAAAACCCAACCCATGATCCCAGTCAGAGAATTTATGAGGGCTAAACTGCACTCTCGCACAAGAAAAAGATACACGAGCCAGAGAAATTGTGTGAAGGTACCCTCAGAGCATACCTTTGCAGCTTTTCCCTAAAATGGACAGACAGTGGGGAAGATGCTGTGGTGAGGTGTGAAGTGTCTCGGTACTCAATTTAAAACAACTAAATTGCCCTTTCTGCCCTTCTGCGTTCTTATTCTCAGCTGAACCCACCGCAGAAGCTGTCCTGTGCAACAAGCACTGTGTGCAACTACCATGATACACCAAAATAAAAACAAAATTCTCCCTCCGGGCACTGAGGTGGGCTGTGATTTCCAAAGGCCACCTCAACAAAGTGCGGCTTCACTGACACCGTGATGGAAAGAGCAAGAGCTCCGTGGGATGCTGGGGTACCAGCGGCATCTTATCTCAACATCCTCTCTATCAAAGTTCTGCTGTACCAAAGTAGCAACAAAACTACCAGATGCACAAACGTCATGCCCCACATTGGTGAACATGCAAATATTGCATTAGAAATACTGTTTAGGTAACCCTTGACTTCTTTTTCATATGAAGGTACTTTTATGTTGTAACTTGACCAAGCCCCTAACTCTTTCCTGTATTTGGGCAAAGGACAACTTTCAGCACTCTGATCAATAAATAGGTATAGCAGTTTCCTCAGATACTCTTGTGGTAGGGGCAGTCTTAATGCTTACACTGAAATGAATCTGAATTTGGTGAGTACTCAGGTGTGTAGAGCACTGCTTGGGCTCTGCTGGTAATATGAGAAAAAAAATCTGTCAATATGAACTAATAAAATCTAGTTCATAACAGGTCTGAAAATGTATTACCCGCTAGAGTCCATATTTAAGGAGTTGAGGCAGTTGAAAGCATGCTTACAGGAGTGTTTTCTGCCCCTGAGGCATATACCTTCATACCCAAAATTAATCAGCTAAAAATAACATGGCTGAAGGCCCCAGCTTTTCTTGTTCATAACAGAAAAACAGCCTGGAGGCTGCAGTTCTGAAATAGGTTTTGTTTTGGTGAGATGCATAACTCTCTACACCAGCTGGTTGATATCCACCTCACCCTGAAAGAAAAGCTGTCAGTATTGCTATATTTTTCAGTCACTAGAATGTAATCAATTTAAGGATAAGGAAACACAAGAGGCCCCAAACCTAATCCAGTCTAATTTTACTCTAAAATACATAGACGAGGACAGAGGGTAAAAAAGAGTTTTTTCAGTTTTTTTACTACGATTTCCATTTCAAACCAGGGTTGAATTCAATTCCTTTCAACTTGCTTTTTGCTCCCCTCAAAAGTAACTTAAAATTGTTTGTTTAAGGACTGGCAATCTCTCTTGGCCCACTCACCAACTGAAATTAAGTGGAAAGGCTCTTCAACAAGACTCAGCTGGCCTGCAAACCTGTCTGAGAATTTGTGAACTACATTTATAATGTTTCCTCCCTTTATCTGACAAAATGTTAGTACATGCATACCCTTCCCTTCGCTGAAGGAATTTGATACTGCCACCTTCAAAATTTGTTCCTACACAACACTGTACACAGTAATAATGAAATACATGCAAATTAGAGAAACAAAAAGTATGAAGAGAGCAGTAAGAAATGTGCATACCCAGACTCTGAATATACTGATAAGAAGGAAAATTCTTCTGAGGTTTATCATATTGCTATTGCAAATCTACCAGAAGAATTTGAAATGAAGGGATCTATCCTGACCATTCATTCTGTTTTCAATATACCCTTACAAAAAAAAACATCAAAAAATCAAGTACTACGTAAGAAAAAGCGATTTATGAAATTTTAGAGTGAGGGGATTATGCACTCCAGACAAATTCTTATTTGTAACAAAGAGAGTTATTTGCACAAACTCCAGAAACTGGGTTCCTTCAGGCCAAATACCATCTTAACTTCAGGAATCTCTGCTTTCCTCTTTGTGTGCTGATGCAGCCATTGACAGCCCTTATCAAATCAGCACCATTTAACAAATACCAGAATATATATTCTATACTTGTAGAGTTTAACTTTCCAAGAAGCCCTCTGTGGCCATTTCAACATGATTAATGTATGGATGTGATATCCTTAGATCACTGCAACCTCCTAGCTCCATGCAGAACTAATGTTTTTTCTACTTTTTGAGTGACTGAGGAACTTCTGCAAGGGATGGAGAAAGGCAAGTTTATCTTCCATTGTATTGGGATAGAAATAAACCTGAGGATTGCACAACAGTCTGCAAAAGAAAAGGAGCACTCAGAAAGTTTCCTTATCTTAGCAGGCTTTGCTCCATCCCAGAAACAACACTCTCTCCAGCTGCAGGTATTATTAAGCAGCTCCTTTCCAGTTACTGTTCTCAAGATAAACTTGCTGCAGTTTCTCAAATGTAGGAACAAATGAAGACTGTAAATGTGCTTGCAAGACTACCTGTAACGTTTCACAGGATTTGGCCTAATGTGTGAAGGTTTTATGGCAGTGATTTTGCTATTCTGAATACAAGAAAAATCTACTAGTTAACAGTCCTGCAAAAACATGTGGGTTGTGTAAAATTACACTTACTCTAATATCTAGAGACTGTCTAAGACAAGTGGTTCATATGTTAAGGGATTAAAAGACTGTTCTAAGTGCACTCAGAATTTATGATCTCATTCCCAGACCTATGGTCAGACTTGTCAATCATCTCCCGTAACTCAGTATTTCAATTAAAGAAGAGGTGAAAAGAAATAAAAAGGAAAATTACAGAGGCATGTAGATGATGGAGATGACCTAACTGTTTTGTCCAACTGCTTGAGGACAGAGCAAAGCTAATTCACTGCTGACATTCATTGGCTGAAAAATACTTCATTGTCCAAACGAGAAAAGCATTCACACACTTAATTTTAAGCATGTGCTTAACACTCACTGCCTTTTAAACCAAGGAAAAATATTAACTTGGAACTTAGTGCACTGCACATGCTGCTGTCTGACAGAGCAAGCTCACTGACCAAAAGGCAACCAAGACAGTAAGGCTTTTGTAAAGTCCTTTAACTACGTAACTTCTAAAAAGGGGATGACTCGCATCACACATGCAAGTTGAACCCAACTGTTCTGCAAGTCACCATGAATCTGAATGAGTAAAGCCAGAAGTGCCAGCAGCTGGCTCACAGTACAGCCCAACTATTAAAATCAGCACTCTGGTCCTCATCAACATCTTGTATGCTGCACTGCACTGAGAACCTGGTTTTTCATAGAAATTGGAAGAACTGACCTTTCGATAGCAAATATTAACATGGGACTGCTAGGCTGCATTATACTTCCTAACTTTAGACCAACACTGCTTCAGTTTAAACTTCATTTCTACCACTGTTTCCAAACTAACAGAATTTTTAAATCTATTTATTAAAAGAGATAGCAACATTCAACTTTCATCTGCCTAGTATTACATGAAAATAATATATTTTTTGCAAATAAGGAAGTGGTTTCTAGTCAATATCAATCAACAGTTGAGAATTCAAACTAAAGAATGCAACAGCAATTTCTTTTTATCGGTGTGGCTTTTGTCCTGGTACCTATGTTTCACTTTAGTAATTCAGGTTTTTTTTAAAAGGTCAAAAGTAAAGCAGTCCAGCTACACTAAAAACACACTGACATCTTTAATAAACCGGCAATTTTAAAATGTCTGTGAAGTTATAGATAAGATGAATGTTGAAGTAAATCAAATAAATAGACACCTATAAATTGAAAATTCTGGAGTTTTTTTAAAGTGCAATTTAAAATTAATAATAACATTTAGAGATGTGTTTGCATCTTCCCATAATGTTTAACTGCACATTTCTTTTATTCCCCCTGAAACATGAAAGCAGATAAGTCTATGTGGTCTTCTAAAAATAGACATGCAACAACCTTGCCAAAGAGCTTAAAAAAATTCCCTGTCTCCCAAAATGACACATTAATCACATATTTGACACATTTCATTAATATCAATTTTTTCTGCTCATTTGAGGCAATTTTTCTGGCTGGAGTTTGCATGAGTACTATTAAAAATAAAGTTATTGAATAAAATATGAATCATCACTTCTGTTCTATTCAAAGCAGTTTCCAGCTTCACCTATCTAGTCTTCCTTCTTACATATTCCTACAGATATGCCGCAAAGTAAATTTTCACTGGCATTTCAGTCAGGCCACAAAAATTACTTGAATAATGTACAGCAACAGCATCTCAGTAGGTAAGCACTGTCTACCATTCCTGTTGCAATTGAATGCAGTTATAAAATATGAAGGAAAAAATCTGAAGACTTCATGCTAACTTGTTTCATATTATTTTATTATAAATTCTGCCATTAAATACATATATGTACGTGTGTGATATTTTTTATTTTGTTGTTTCACATTAATTGTAATACTCTGAATAGCTTAAAATAAATTCCTATCACTATCACTAAAGTGAATGATTATTACATTATTTCTTACATTAGTTCTAATAACCACTCTGAAAACACAGGTCTAATACTATGTATTATGTTATTAGAAACAATACATCCTTTTTTCTTTTTTAGGAAAGAAGAATTGAAAGTAAATTGTTTGAAACATCACTTATTCCTAGGGCTCTTGGTGAGGGAAGCAGAAGAGAGGATTGTCTAATACAACCCTTATTCACTACCATCTGCTGCTGCTTGAACCTGGTGAACATATAGATCATACATTTTCCTTTTGGCATCCCTTGCCAGTGCTTTTGAAGTTCACTAGGAATGCTAGGGCCTGTGAGAACAACAGATGGATAATACTCTTTACAGACAAGGAGGAATACTATTTAAACTTCATCACCCAGATTTGCCAAGAAACCTTAGCAATGCTGTAACACAGCCCTGCTGCTTTACTGTGACCTCTCCTTATGGAGGGCCATTCTGAACTCTGACAGTGACTTGCCTAAATTAGCATTTCCTCTTGGTTGTGTTCAAAACTATTTGTTTGATTTACTCCTCTGTGTTTTCATCCCCAAAATTCAATTTCTAATTATCCTCCAGCTGCACTTCTATTTCTTTTTACTTCTCTATTTATAGGTTGCATTAACAATGTACTGGCACCACTTCAATACCTAATATCAATGTAAGTGTTTGCATTATGAGGCTGAGTTAACAAAAAGTAAAAAACCCTTTGTTTGTAAATATGCTGACTCAAGTAACAGACTATTAATATGCATTCCTTTCTACAACCCATCAGTCATCACCAAATTTGGACACCAGACTTTCAGCTTAATTAATTTGCTGCTTGTTCAGGTAAAACTAGAAAAAAATTACTTCAGAGCACAAAGGACATTATGCTGTATTATACATGGTCTTTTCCATGAGGCCAATTTGAAACCACAGTTCTGGATATAAGGTTGCATATTGCTCATGTGAACAAGCCCAAAATTGCTTCAATCCACTACATAAATAATGGCAGTGCTGAAAAAGTCAGAGAACTCACCACTTGTCCATCTCTCCCTGGAACACCAGGCACTCCGACAGAACCCTGGAGGGAAACAGATGCCAGTGTTTAGCAAATTAAACAGGTCATGAAACCTTTCATCTCGTAATACAGTATTTAGAAATAATGGTGAATGTTTGCTTATTGGAACTGCAATAAATTTTTCAAGAACTCATTTTTATCCAAGCTGAGCTCTCCTTTCAGTTGAGATTTTATACTAATTAGACATATTCTCACATTGTACGTTTTAAAGACTGTATGGCCTTTTCCAGAAACAAGCTTCAAGCTCATGTTTTCTAATGTTGTTGAGGCTTCACAAGAAATGTAAGAATTGAAATGCTTTTCCATTTAATGCTCTCAATAAGTTTCGAGACTGATCCTATGCAATCAAATATAGCACCTGAACAAAACTATTAATGCTTCTAGAGGGATCATTCAAGCTCAGTAACTTGCAGCACCAATCAGTCTCAAGGCTTTTAAGAGATAATACACAGTGATTCAGTCTGGCAGTACAAATTACAGATGCACTTTGAAACTGCACCAATATTACTGCAATCAGAGTTAGAAGGTCAATACAGGCCAAACACAAGTGACAAAGAAGAAAAAAAAAAATATGACATTGGAGGGATCTTTTTTACGAAGCCCTCATACTGTAAGTTTCTATGTGATGGATAATTTTTTTGAAGGACCTTGTGCAACTTGCTATGGAATGAAAACACAGAGCATGGAAATCAGGAAAGCTGCATCTGCTTGTACAGCATTCTCCTCTTATTTATAAAGATGGTGCTGCACAGCAAGGGAACTCAAAGAATTGCTGCATGGCAATTCCCCCTCCATTTTGCTTAGAGGTGTCACTAAAATCATCACCAACACCCAAAGGAAATGCATTCAAAATGGATGCAGACATTTGTCAATTAATAGAGTTGGGAAATCCTGTGAAACAGGAAAAGGAACCAACTCATGAGGGTCTCAAGAACACTCCAGGAGCCAGTAACAGAGCTTTGAATCAGTAAGAAATAATACACTGCATCCCAGCATATCTCCTTGACTCACAATGCTCTCCCCTTTCTCCCAAAGCTTCCACTTTGGCATCCTTGCTGTCTCTTTTTGCTGGATACATAGTCATGGCGTTAAGCTACTGCAAAGGTGCCTGAGTGAACGTTTTCACATCTCTGTACCATTTTTCCAGAAAATCAGAAGACAAAGCTCAGGAGAGCATTAAACCATCAGCCTCAATAAACCATCCCATGTATAACAGTTCCTCCTCTCAGTGGCAGCTGATTATTTTTCTTACGAAACACAGGATGTTAGGAAGTGTGAAATGAGGCGGATTCTACCGTGATAAGTAAATGTTTATCAGATATTCAGAAGTTCATCAGCACGCGGGTTTTGCTGATGTCATACAGGCAAAATATGCTCCTCCACAATTCTGAGGGTATAGCTTTGTAATGGCAACTTAGACATGAGCCACATTCCTGCATTGCCAAAAACAAAGGGTAGTCCTCTCCTTCAGCCTGCAAACTCTATACAGCCCACAGCTGCCAAAATTCCACCAATTTGTGTACTTTGGGATTATGTTTTTACATATCACAGGCTTTTCTTCCTTTTGTTAAAAAAGTTTTGTTTTAACAGATGCTTCACTCCAAAGAACATAATCTCAGAAGAAGGAAAGCAGGCATCCTTCTCACATATGTCAATACTACTTATTCCATCCTCTTTTTTTTTCCCCCTTATAAAAATTATAGCTGCTTTATTAAATATCTTTCATACAACTTCTCAATCTTTTGAAATCAGCTAGAAAATTACTCACTTTGGTGCTATGTGAGTCAGACGCCGGAAAAGTACCACTCACTAGCTGTTACTGCTGATATTCTGAGGACTGTTTTAATGGTGTAATTCCATAAATCCTAAACTCACTCAATCAAACCGAGGCAGTCAGCTTTAATGAGTGTAAATAATGCTGAAGACATTCCCAGGAAGTCGGGTCTCAGGTTACCGAAGGAACAGGAAGACACCGGCAGACCACCTGAACACCACCGACCAAGCACTATTTATCAGCAACACCTACGTCCTTTGTTTCTGCTGGTCAATTCTTTAGTCATATGGCACTGATCTACTTGAGTAGAGACATGCATTTAATCAGAAACTTTATCTCCCCACCTTTCACAACGTTTTAACTTTGGTTTCCTAATCGTACCAGTGTATGAATGGGAAAATTATAGTGACCTTTTCACCTGAAAGTTAAGCAGACAGATTGAAAACAGTCTGCTCTGCACTGCTTGAACTTCTTATGATGGGGGAAATGGGAAATCTTGTGTCTCACATTATATGGCTCCATTTTGCAAAAACAAAATTCAGAACCTAAGCTAATTGATTCAATGCAGTGTACAGTAGCTTATTCCATTCACCTTTTCTGCTTGCAATTTGGCACGGGAGGAATAATCACTTTCACAGCATTGTTGTTTATACTATACCTTTTGTCCTGGAGGCCCCTGAGGTCCCTGCAAAGGGAAAACAATTCAATTAACATCAAAACTCCAGCCAATTTAAACTGAAATGACTAATTAAGACTGTCTTACTGTGTAAGCACTCTGATACTGGACTGAAACCAGCTGATGTTTTATAAATCAAAGAAAAGTAAGAGTTTATGCTCAAAACGCACAATGAATCTTTCCTCTTCACTTTTGGAACTGATCTAACTACTACCCAGAATACTCAAATTTTCCCCCTTCTAATATTTTCTCTTCCAAGCCATCTGTTTCTTCTAATACTGACAAATCTCCCAGCATTAAGTTGACTGTGGTTTTTCTCTCTTATATCAGCCAACAGCCAGTTGTGTGTCCACAGTAATATATCAGCTTGTCAGCATAAAAACAAGGTTTATGCAAACAAGCATTTTTGTGATAGAGAGAAGCATAAACCTCAAAATCTTCTCACCTTCTAAGTATCAGCACACATGACTGTGTTATACCAAACTTGTCATGTGTGCCATCATTTGCAAGTCAAGAGAAAAATCTTTAACTTCAGAAATTGTTGAGAATGCTATTGGGAAGCAAAGAACCACCGTTTTGTCCCCATGACCTGAGAAGGCAGGAAGAGATAGCTCAGGAAAGCTTAACTTTCCTTAATGTCATACAGGAGTCAAAGTCATGTTGATATTAAGAGGACCCATTTCTCATCTGGTGTCTCTGAAGAACCCAGGTGGCCACAATGGAGAGGGGAAACAGAGAGAGAGAAAGAAGATCAACCAGCCACATCTAGGACACCAGTCTGTTTTGGTAACACCCAGACCATGTCCACCACAGCTCCATGCATGTTTGTCCCCAGGTTCCTGCTATGGGCACTGGTGCAAATTGTGGCTGCTGGTGGTGTAGCAAGCAAAGTGAATTCATAGACCATGAGGGTGCAAAACCCAACACAAAAACTGGGAAATTCAAATCCTTCTAATGTGAGAAAGAATAAAAGAAGAACTGATTGATACCAGAACTGCAATTATTCAGGAAAACAAAAGGATTTCTGCCTCAATATGTGACACTGATTTTATTCTTAAATTAGTGTGAAGTTAGGCAGAATCCTCCACGGTCAGCAGATGGAACATTGCTTGCTGGAACATTGCTCTGATGCAACTTTAAACTGCTAACAAGGAAAAGCTCCACTGGTGGTAATTCTGAGTGCTGCATCCACTGATGTGGATGAAAGCCTTGCAGTTTTAAATGTGGATTGGTATGTCTAAGGTTTGGTATCAAACCTTGCAAAAGCATAGATCAATGCTGCTTCTTGAAAGTTTTGCCTGATTGTTTTAACAGAAGAAAAGTATTGTGAGCATCTCCTTTAGACTGCAGGGACAGATTCTGATAAAGGAAACCCACCTTTACTCCTTTCCCTTCAAAACAAAGCAGAAGTACCTAAGCACTCAGGACTGGTGATGATCAAAGCAATGAATATAGTGAGCATCTGCTTTTTCAGGTGGAGAAAAATGTCCCCATCTCACAGTGTTTCACAAAACTATTTAAATCAAGCCTGCTTTTGAAGTAAGTGCCTGAGAGTGAGTGATCTGCTGAGTAAGGAACCACAAATAGAACAAGTCCACAAACAGTGTTCTTCCCTTTCTTTGAGTGCCTGACACTTCTCTTCTTCTGTAAGAAAGACACAAGTTTGTCTAGCATTTCAAAAACACCAAGAAATTAATGTTCAAACTAATGCTTTCCCTACAGCAATGGTATCAAAACAGGCTCCAAATGTCTACAAGCTGGGCATCAGTTGTCTGTTGACCTGTTGCAAAGTAACCTGCTGCATTTCAGGGTTATTTCAGGTCTTGGGAAAAATCCCTCCATCAGTAGGCCACAGTGAATACAGAACAACTGAAGACCTCCATCATAGCTCATACCAGCTATTTTTATGGCCAAGGGATGGATAGATCAGTTTATAGCTACTTAAGAAGCTACTAAAACCTTCTAAAGACCCTCAGCTATATTAAATTACCATTTGGGAGCCCTTAATACAATACTACTGTATGAAGGAAAAATGATAATTCACTTACTAATATTAGCCCCCAAAGCAACCTGTTAAATGTACTCTCTGTTGAGGACTTTCTGCCTGGTGCTTGCAGCTGTCAGCCTGTGGGATGGATATAATTCAAGACATTGCAGAAAACATTTTTTCCCCCAGAATTTCCTCTTCATCCCTGACATCATTCCAGCTTCTCAAGATGAGTTACTGAATATGAAAATATTTACATAGTGGCATGGTCTCGCTCTTTTGGTGACTTTAAAATGAATCATTCAGAGAAAAGATGCAGTAGATACTTATCAAAAAATATATTATGCAATTAGAAGTTTTCAATTTCTGGTACTTCAGCCTTTACTCAGACTGGAAGTAGCCCTGGTGTTTCACAGCCACTGATCCACTTGATGACTTGAACAGTCCTCAACAGTACAGCTACCTTCAGAAACTGTATAGTATTGACTCAAAAAACCGATTTCAAATAAAAGCTTACCTAAAGGGACACATTTCACAATTTACATAGAGACAACAAGTCCTTTTTATCCTTAGAATGTTCTGACTGTAAAACATACCCGAAGAGAAACAATTTTTTTTAAAGCACTGCTCCCTAGCACTGGGAAAGAAGCTCCAAGTCATTGGAAACTTAACAGCTCATTCACTGACAGCTCTCATCCCTCCCCCACATAAGCCAGCAGCCATTTAACAGAAAACACAGAATTAGGTTACTAACAGAAAACTTCTTCAAAAAAAAAAACAAAACATAAAACCTGTAGAACACCGCAGAATGGTGCTTATTTTTCTAGAATTACCTAAAATCTCTGATCAAGGTACAGAATGACATTGGAGAAATAGAAACAAACAAGTAAATAAAATACGGTAAAAAGAAAAAAATAGAAAAGAATAAAATGTAAAAAATTTAAAACAAAAAACCAAACCAACTAACCAAAAAAAAAAACCAAAAAAAACCCAGAAACCAAAAAAACCCAAAACAAAAAGGTTCTTTGGCTTATTTCCAGAAGAATAAGTGACAGCTTTTAGAAGAATCTATGTAGAAAATTCCATATGAACATGCGGATTTTTCCCCCGTATTATTCTACTGAACTGGGGAGCATCCTGTGGTACCCACTTGATGAACAGACAGTAAGACCAGAAATCAGAATCTCTATGTAGGTCTGGAGACAGAAGCAGAAGGCAAGAAATATGTGAACATTTCCAACCAATTCCTCAGGATGCTTTGTTTTGATGTTTTTCTCTGTTTTTCTTCAGCTGCTCTGTGCACCGTAACAGCTGCAGCAATATCCTAGCCCTGCTGTTTGCTCCAGCACATCCAAAGGGATGCTTTGCAAATGCAGGCTCAGCTAAGCTTCCCACTGGACAGATATTTTGCCCCTGGGTCCTGGCAGGCAGTGCAGAGCTGCTGCCACAGGTCCCCACCTCATTCCCCTCAAGCCCAAAGCCTCGGCTCCATCTACACCACACGGAACACACTGTCCCTCTGCCACCAACACATCTGGTGTATGAAGGAGGCAAAGCAGAAACACACAGCTCTTTAAAACCATTGGCTGATCAAGAAAACAAAACAATCCCAGAAGTACAGAATTCTTTCACCTCCTAACCACATACACGTATATATGATATCGGCCATTGTTCAATGACAGATTACGTTGATAGCAAATACTTGACTTTTGCCTGCATCATTGAAAGCTGCCAGGGTTTCCACAAAGGGATGCTTAGAATCAACTCCTAAACCACTGGCAATGGATGTCATAAAGCTCTTTTTATAAAGAGCATTTAGGCTTCAAGAATTTCAAAGAAAGTTTGTGAAAACCATTCAGATGAAGTGACTGCTCACAAGTGACTGCTCGTTTTCCAGGATTATGCCACTTTTCCTCAAATTGACACATATTCACAGAGGAACTTCAATTGTGATGGCTGAAAATTTTGGTTGCAAGAAGTCTTGAGTAGCCTAGAATAGGAAGATAACTAAATATAATGAAAATAAAATATAGTTCTTGTTCTTTCAGCCATCGTGAGCATTTCAGAAGAGCCCTTTGCCATCATGCCCAATTGAGTAAACTAGCTAGGCAGCTGCGACAACTTATTGCAGGGCTTCACTGAATTAGATTTTCATTCAAATAACTCCACAGTAGGAGGATGAAAAACGAGGTGTGTTGCTCCAAAGAAATTCAACTGCCCTCTGGAGAAGGAGAATTATTGATAATATCTAAACACTTGGAAAACTGGGTAACTAAGGATAAATACAAATGTGTACAAAAGTCTTCTATGCAACTGTGTTTTTTAAAAGGTAAAATATTTCCATTGTTACCTGCCATTCTTCAATCACTGTTTTTGGAAATCAACCAAACCTCCGGAGATTGTAGCATGTCAAGTCTTTGCATTACAGAAATGATTGAATGAAGTTGGACATTTCAGCTGGTCCTTAACAAGTAACTATTCAGAATAAATTAAAACAAAACAAAACAAAAAAAAAAAACCTCACAAAATAATATGCACCAAACGCTAACAAAAAGCCCAACAAACAAACCCCAACCCACCCTTACCTTCCCAAAATCAAACTAAACTGAAAAGATTTACCTAGGTATAGTAAAATAAAGTTTGGGGCCCAGCATTCTTACTACACCTCCTTTCTAATGTTACAATTATATTTTTTTTTTTATGCTTCATATGTTCCCTTTGTTTTAGCAAGCTGGAAAATAAGAAAATTCTGTCCTGTAAAGGTTAAAGCTGCAGTTTCAAAGAGAGAGAGAGTAATTCAGGGTGTGATACATTAGCAACCTTTTGTATTCAATTTCTAGGGACTCCATTGCTTAATGTTTGAAGAAATGTATGAATTAAAAAGTTAGGGCATTTTCAGTTTGCAGGTCTGGGGCAGGAATAATGATTTGTTTTACAAGGTGTTAGAGTTCATGGACAATGAGCACAAACACCAAATGAAAATGCCTAACAAAAACATAATGAAAACGTGAATGCTTTTGTA